AAGACATAAAATTTTCATATAATTGAGATAATTTTTTAATTTGTTAATCTAACATTTTCGCACGAATTACACCAAGTATATTTTATCAGAAACGATATTTTAAATATACAATTAAAAATATATTATATTTATATTACTTATAATTAAGGATTATTGAATGTTTTTATCAACTAATGCGGAGATATAAATCTTTTTTTCCTCCATTTTCCCTTTTATCAAATTTATAAATTAATAAAATCACTTAGGATGGCTAAATGTTGATGCGTAGAGGTGATAAAATGCTTAATCCATCACTGATTATAGAATCTCTATAATCTACCGAATTATCAGATCTTAAAACCGTCGATTATGAAAATTGTTTTTTTTATAGCTTGCGCGTGGGTCTGGTCCATGAAGCGACGCAAGTACGCGCCGCCGCGCTACGGGCGGTACGATACATGCTCAAGAAGGAACAGGATGTCATCGCGATCAACAGGCTGCAGTATCCATATTTCCTGGCGCGTAGCATGGACATTAACCTACGTAACGAAATGGAGAGGATACAAGCTCTCCGACTCGTCAGGAGGATCCTAGTATTAGCTCCTAAGCATTTCAGTTCCGTGCTAGCGAGATCACTGATTAGTTTAACGAATGGTGGTATAGAGGAAAGGGATCGTGCATTTAAAGCATTTCTAGCGGTTCTATGCGAGTTAGGCGTCCTGAACTCGAATCTGCTGATAAGCTGCGGCGGCGTCGGTACTCTGGCCAGAGCTGCGATGACCGGACAAAGCGCTATTGCAGTTGAACCCGTCGTCGGAGTACTACTGCGGCTGCTGAACAATCCCGATACGCGCGCCAGCGTCTCCCTTCTGTGCTTCGCCGCGCCCTATTGCGAGCTCCATTCCTTGAGTATGGAAAGAACCAAGGAGGAGCGCGAACAGAGATTCACCGCCAGTAAACTTGCCCTGCTAAGCATTCTGCGTTCGTATCCGGGCGTCCTTCACTTTTGCCGGCCGGACAATAATTCGGGTCTCAAGGCCATCGCGGATATTCTATACGTGGACCAATTGGAGGTGCGTGGCGCTGTTCTAGAACTGCTCTACGAGTTACTGGACTTGCCGTTACCCACTTGGACTGACGAGCCGGACGTTGCGCTGGCCGCAGTGGATCCCAGTAGATCGCGGGATTCGTGGAAGTTGTCGGAGGGTTTTGTTGCCGCCGAGGGAAAATCTATATTGCCATCTCTGTCGTCACATTGTCCCAACATCACGGAGATACATTCGGCATTGTTAGTATATGTTCTTCTGGAGTGTGGCTTGCACCGAGCTCTCGCAGAAACCATCGTCTCCAGCGACACTTTCATCTCGGTACGCGCGGCGGTACTCCTGGGCGCGTTGCTGCATCTCGCACATTCGCTCCTACCATCCGAGCTTTGCGACCTTACACCGCCGTTGCCGAATTTGTTGGAACACGCGAGCGTCGGCAAGCATCAGGCGCTAGCGGCAGTCACCATTCTTGAACGAATGCACATCATGATGCGGCGTAGACCGACGCCGGCGAGTCTCTTCCTCGATCGTATTCTTCAAGCGGGTACCTGGTTACGTCCGATTCTGCCACGACGTCAACGACCATCCGGCAGGCACTGGCTACGAATCGGCAGGGAGTCACCAATCACGCCTCTGCTGAAGGACGCGCAAGTGCTCAGTTCGAAAGACGCTCTTGCTTGGAATTGGCCAGTGGTGCGAGCGATTCTACGATCGCGCGAAGACGCGACACGAATTCTTCATGATTCCGATCACCGGCTGTTCATGAAACGTCTTGTGCGTTACTTTAAACCATCATGGAATGGCTACAGCAGAGTCGAGCTGGGCACGAGCGCAACGTTAGCGCGCGAGGCGACTCTCGCAGGCTGCGATCTGTTGAACTGTTTGTTGGAACTGCACGAACCGGAAGGCGCGCGATTGCTCAACGAGCTGATTGGGGACATCGCCGAGCAGATTGGCAACATTCGCACTGCCGAATCTGCGCACGATTGTCTATTCTCACCACGTCACATGTCCACCACGTGTTGCCAGAAATACTTTCTGTTTCTCGGCCAGTTAAGTCACTCGGCCAAGGGGACGGTGGTTCTTAAGAGCTTCAATCTGTTGGAGAAGTTGCAAGATCTCGCGCTGGCTACCAATCACGACTGCTACGTCAAACTGATTGTCTCCAGCTTGGATTATTCCCGGGATGGTCCCAACAGGAAAGTATTAAGCAAGATCATCTCTGAGGCAACGTTGTGGAGCACGCGCCTCTACGCTACGCAGTTCCTACGGTTGATTCTTCGCGCCAGAATGACGGACGCCGTACGGTGGGCGATGACGTTGCTGGCGGATCGATTGTCGGATAGCTACACGGCCGTAGCGCTGGCCGCTTTAGAGGCACTACACGAAGCCTGTGACGAGACCGAGTATCTGGAGGCATTACTGCAACAGGGTGGACAATCACGCGACTGGGACAAGTGGCTGCAGCACTTGGGCGACAAGGGTTACCTATTGAAGATCCGACTCTATTCTCTTCAGCAAGGTTTCGCGAGTCTCGCCGCACCGTCCGAGGAGTTGGAGAAGTGGATTGGACCGGGCGGTTTCGCTGAGCGATACGTGGGCCTTGTAGAAGGAGAGATACATGACGCATTGACGTATCGTCAACGCGATGAGTCTGGAAGCTATCAGAGAAGGCCCACTAATGATGTGGTCATAATGCCACGAGACATCTACGTGCCGCCGCATTTAATCGGCCAGCTGGCGCAGCATGACTTAGGAATGCAATTATTATTACGCCGCAATGTGATACAGCGTTTCGCTCGAGTGTTGCAACGTTTCAAGCTGGAATTTGGCGGTCGCGACTCAGAGTCCAATTCACGATGTACCAGAACGAATCGTCTCGCTGCCATGGCGGCGGCAACAACAGTCTCCACTGCTATCGACGATGTCTGCATCATGTCAGAGGAGTCCGGTACGGACGAAGCCGTCGAGCAATGCAGCCGCCTCGAGACCATCCCCGATTACGAAATAGTGGAGACTGAACCTCGTGACACGGTGAGCCAACCACGGACGGAATCACTGCTGGAGATCCGTCGGAAGACTAGCATGGACGATTCCAGACACACCACTCCGGAGCGAAGCTGGAGGCTGGAGACCGAGTCGTCGCGCGACGATCACTTTGTCGGCCCGAACGGCGGTATTCTCAAAGTTAAATCGGCTCTCTGGGCTCTCGGCCACGCGGGCACATCTGTCGCGGGTGTTGAACACTTAAGTCACCTGAGTATCATTGAGATGATTACGTCTATGGCAGAAACGTGTCCGTATTACTCGGTACGTGCCACTGCGATGTACGCTCTCAGTCTGATCGGCACTACACGAGCTGGAGCCGATACACTGGTAAACTTCAACTGGCCATGCGTCAGGCATCGACGCGGTGACAACTGGCCCGTGGTACCGCCCTCGAGTAGATATCCTATGCCAAGCCCAATCCCCGTGCAGCGACATCATCGTAGTCTCAGCGATGGCAAACCGGAACTACTCGAACCAATCGTACGCCGCACCAGGAATCGATCTGAGAGCGCGGCTACGGATCTCGAGGCGCGACGATACTTCCTATCGTGAGTGAAGCAATTAAAGATGAAAATACATATCGAGAGTAGATATTGAAATCATTCTAATCTGAAGCGGACTTTTTAAGTAGAAGAGCTTATAATTGTCGAAATATTGTAGCTCAATAGATTTTTTATTTTTATTTTTATAGTTTAATGCCTGTTTTCGATCTAGATTAATCACAGTTCAACTTGCTCTTCATCTTTTTCTAATTCTTAGGATTAGAAAAAGATAAGAGTTGAACCAAGATTAAAGTTATCTACATGATAGAAATAGTCATAAATATAAAGAAAGATGGATTCAAATATATTTTAATCTATTTGCGTTTTGATATTAATATTAATGTTGTATATTTTTCTGTTTTTTAGAGAGAGAGGCGAAACTCCAAGTCCCGTTTCAAGTATTCAAAGACTAAGCCAACAAGATGCTGAAGGATATGCGCGACTACGTAGTTTACAACGCCATCGCAGGCCGAGTTATTCTCAAAGTAGTTTAGAAGTATGTGAAAAGACATGCCTATGTCTAGAAATTAAATATAACGGTTTTTTAAACAACACGATCCAGTCTTTCTTTTTGCAGATGTATAGCTTAGACGGCCGTCTTTCGCTACAGAGCCTGTCGGAATACGATTCGTCCCGCAGCTGGATTGCGGAAAATGCGATTCTCACACCGACGCCACCTCCTCCGGAGGACGATAATGAAAACATATTCTACATGGGTGTCTGTCTGCCGAGGAAGTTGCTTACGATCTTTCCCGAGCCTCCTCAGCCATCCCAGCCGACCATCCTCGAGGATAGCATTAGATCCGAGTTGGAGACAACAGAGATCGATGAAGAATCCAGTTCGGAATGTGATGCTGACACCGAACATTGTCGCACGTGTCTCATTTGCTATCACGGCAAGAATGGCAAGGACACTGGTACTGAACAGGATATGAAATTACGAAGGTACCAAAAATATGATCTTTTAGCAGAATACTTGTACGTTTGAAAGTAGAAAACCAATATAATTGAATTGCAAACAAAAAATTACTTATTAGAATATTAAGTCTCTTGATCATTTATTACAGATCTTCAGATTGATGACGTTAAAAAACACATAGTGGAAATTCTTGCAAAATATAACGAACTTTCCTTTTATTCCAGAATAGAATAAAATATTTATCTCAATTCTACAGTTGTCATATAGTTTATTTTGTCTTCTAGTGTTAGCCATAATTTAATTTCAATTAGATTATTTATTGATTACCGAAATACAAGGAATGTTTGCGGTATATTTTACAATTCTATTCTATCGATTGTTTTATTGAATGTTTTATTTAAAAAAATATATTTTAGTATAGTTTGTAAAATTTCTTTATTTATTTTTTTCTCGTTTCTAACGTCACTGTCCACGATGCTGCAGTGAATAGATAGGAATCTTAAAATGAGAAATTTGGAATTATAGTTCTTAATTAATTAAATTATAAAGTACTTTTTATGACGTTTAAAAGTGAATGATAAAACTTTTATGAGATTTGTGTTATGTTTAATTCGATCGTGTTTGCACAGAGAAATACTTAGACACACCCAACGGCTTGCAAATCCAGTGTGGTATCGTCACAGTCGTCAATCGTTACTTAGACTAAGGCAACAGTATCCCGAGAAGTTTCAAGTATGTCATACATTTGTCGTATATTCTGTTTCTGCAACAGTACATAGTAGTGTTCTTTACATACATTCGCCTTTTGCAGGATACCTGCTTGTTTTCGGATGTAGCTGCTCGCTTAGGTAGCGGTACGTATAGAATGCCAGCGCGGCAATTTCTGCAAGAGCTGTTTCTGGATTCTCCATTCGATGCGGTAAGTTTTTTATGACGTATACTTCCATGTGCCGACTCTCGTAATCGCATGACTCATGATTGTCAGCAATTCACGTCAGCGTTATTTTAGAGTTAGTACAACACGTAATCGATTGAAGGAACCATTGAAAATAAAAAGTTTTTTTTATTTTTTCGTTTTTTTTTGTTGAAATATGGTTGTGCGAAGAATTAGTAACTAAATTTATCATTAATATGATGATATTTATAAATTAATAACTATATAAAACTGTCTGTTATCGGTTATGCTTCTTTTCTCTCCAAATTTCATTATATTTATAAATATTATACATAAATAAAATTAAAATATTAAATATTAATGGATTAATAAAACATAAATAAATTAATAAACATTAATAAATTAAATATTAATAAATTAATAAATTAAAATGTATGTGTGAGTATAACTTCCTTTCTCTTTAATTGTAAGATAATTTGCGACTTTACAGCTCTACGTCGAACCAATCAACATCTTGAAGATTCCGATCGGCACGGAGGAGAATCCTTTGCAATCACCTGTTCCTAGCTCCGAGGCTAGCCTTCGGCAGCAATCTGTAAGTCCTGCGGAGGGCAAGATTAACGGAAGACTTACTCTGACTGAGATACAAACGGCGCAACTGGCATCGGTCGTCGAGGAAAGTTCCTCGGCCGGTGGCGGTGGTGGCGGCGATAGCGGCAAAAGTGAATCGTGTAACACGGGACATCAACGTAAAAAGAAATCTCTAGAAGTTGTTCGTCCGTCACAAGAACGACGCACCGATGAGAAGATCATAGCCGAGATCCTG